CCAAGCCTACTCTTGTGGTGCTCGGAGAAGCAGGAGAAAAAGGGTATGTTGACATTGGAGCCGCAATTCTCAGACTTGGGAGGAATAAAGGTCAAGCTGCTCAGCTGGAATGCATAAATCAATTCAGATTGTCAAAGAGTTTTCTACTGAAAAATAAATCCTGGCATTTCTAAGATGAAGGAAGACAATCTTTTAGGGGAGGAGGTGGCTACAGCTCTGGATTATAAAATCTGAATGGAAAAATGCATTTGGCTGGAAAACTAAAGACAGAAAAAGCTTCCTCTTAGACTATAGTTTATCTGAAAGAGTGCAATGAATTCATTAGCATTTTTTTGAAACTTGAAGGAAGGAGATCTTAATAAATACTAGTGAAGTCAAGAGATAGGGAACGGAGAGTAATTGCATGGAGGCCATTATTACTAATGTAAGATGTGTAAAAATGTTGTTATTGACTATAGTATGTTGGTTGGCTTATCACAATAAATTGGTAAATTTGAAATTATTTATTAAAGATTTACTCAGGATCTTATTTCTGCAAGCCTCTTCTTCTCAATATGTCTTATATTCTCCTACCAGAGAGATTTTTCGGAACTTAATCATCTAGATTTGGGAAAGATTCTGAGATCTATATATATCATGTGTATATGGTAGAGTATGTCTAATGGGACAGTGGGAAAGATTTATGGTTTAATTATTGTTATCGATACATTTAACAAAACTCATTATTATTAATACATTATTATCAATACACTTAACAAAACTCACTTCCTTTCAATAAAAGAGAACCACTAGCCTTTTCTAAACTAAGCGCATCAACTCCGGTACTTTAGTAGATTATTTAGTAGGGATGTAGTGTTGCTCCTAACAGTGTCCTATTAGTGTCTAATCTATCCAACTGATTCTGTTTGGCAGAATATTTGCATTCTTCATCTCCTTATATGAAGTCAGAAAATATCACTTTCTGGGCTCTCATCCAGACTGGTTTTCATAATGAGCATCTGATACAGGCAGGGCCCAGTGAAATTGCAAGGCTCCTGGTAAACAGTCTTAGTTGCTGCTTGTTATGAGGTCTTACTCTTTCAGGAGCCTGTGTCCTTTTTCTAAACTTTTGTTCTGGTTAAAAATTTAAAAAGGAGCTACTTGCAATGTCTTTAGCATTAACTTAAGCTGTAGTAGGCCCATAAAACAATCATTGGGATGCTATTAAAAGTGTATGAATAATAAAACAGCTGCAATAAGGAAAGTTTCAGAACAGTAACATGACCTTGGTAGCTCCCCCTTCATGGAGGGCTTTCCTAGGGGGTGGGTTGGCTGCATTCTGTCTCGGGCAATTAAACATTATTTGAGATTTAGAAAATCTCAACCTACCTTTTCTATTTTCTTTTCTTTTTCTTATTAGGGGTAAAGGCTGTGGGCCATTTTCTGGGTTGTGCATGACAACAGAGCACAATTCAAGAATATTCCTAAGAAATCACTGAGGGCTACTTTGTTTATATGAGATATTTACAAGGGTACAAGTTTTATGAGGTTGTTTTATGATAAAAGTCAAAGTTACTAATGGTCCAGGGCTCTGTAAAGAATTATGTGAGGTGTGCCAGAACAATTCTGTGTTTTTTGGGGAAAACAACCCCAGATGTGAGCCTAGGTCTTGGTATTTAGGAGTTCTGAAACCTTGGCAAGTTACTTAAATTCCCTATTAGTTCCTCGTCTTATAAAATGTGATTAATAGCAATGACTACTGTGAGGAGTAACTACATTAATTTCTGAACATAATATGTAGAGGGCACAGAGCAGATTCCTAGTAACATGTCAGTTGGTTTTCTCCTTCTTAATATGATCAGTGCTCTCATAGAATGCCTACGATATTTCCTTGGTATCACTATTTAGTGATGTCTCCTTTCATGGCTGTGAAACACAGTAATGTTTGGGACCACAGATGAATACATGTTCTTCAGAGTTGTTCGGAAGTAAAAGAAAGCTGCATTGTTCAAGAGTCTTGGGATCCTGTCTTGGTTACTTTTTTCTCGCTGCTGGGACAAAATACCTGATGCCCAAAATTAAGGAAGGAGAGGTTTATTTTGCTTACAGTTTGTGGAAGTTTCAGTTGGTACTTGGCAGATTATAAGGCAGAGTGGCACATGGCAAAGAGCTACAGCTCAGGGCGGCAGAACACAGCTAAAGCTGCAAGCACACACCAGGGCAGAATGCGGGAGGAATGTCCTCAAGCACTCTTTTCCTCTCCCTTACATATGCAAACTATCCAACCCAGGGTGGGTGTAGCTCTCACAACCACAATCATTCAACTCTAATAGCCTGCCCCATGGTCGTATGAGGCTTTGGAGGGGACACACAGACATAAACCATAACAGATCTTTAGAAGAATTTTCCCAAAGCAGCTTCTTCTGCTTTCATTATATGTATACGTGTCTGTTTCTTTCCTTTTTGTAAGAATAACTTTGGATTATGTCTTGTCTTGAGTAGCTACTTTGAAAATAATGATACACAGTGTAATAACTAGTTATTCTCCTCTTATTTGGTTATGAAAGCATATTTTTTTCATAAAATAAAAAGAAAAAATGGAAATTAACTAAAGTAATAAAAAACCAAAAACCTTTGTCCTAAGGTATCCAGGTGGGACTGGTTCTAGGAATCCCTGTTGATACCAAAATATGAAGGTGCTCCAATTCCCCACATGAAATGTTATCTGTAAATAACCCATGCATGTGTGCCCACATATTTTAAATAATCTCTGGATTACTTATAATAACAGGTACAGTGTAAGTGGTGCATAAATAGTTAAAATCTACTGTTTAGGGGATAATGATGAGGAAAACTGTCTGCTTATCCATGGAGGTGCAATCATGTAGGCTTAACTACACAGTACCTGCCAGAAACAGATTAATGTGTTGGCTTGTTGTATCCACTGATATGTGGTTACAGAGGGCTGACTAATCTCTATCTATCTCTATCTCTATCTCTATCTCTATCTCTATCTCTATCTCTGTCTCTGTCTCTGTCTCTGCCTCTGCCTCTACCTCCAGCTCTATATTTATCGATCCATATCATCTATATATATAGACATAGAGATAGTATACATTTAACAAATTAAATATCCAACACGGGGAACTTATTGAAGTAATTGCTAAAGAGGTACAATACATGTGTGTGTATCTTTAGATTTATTGCACGAAAAATGATAGTGTGAACATTTTTTATGATACTAATTTGATGCAAATCAAATGTACATTGTACATTTTCTAAATGTACAAATTATCACTATACAGCAAATAAGTGATCACAGTGTAAATGGTTCTATGTAATTACCACTCAGAGAAAGTTGTAGATCTCTGCCAGCACCCCTAAGAATCCCCTCACAACTTGTTACCACTTTTCTCTCCTCCAAGTAATCACTACCTTGAACCTTGTAAAATTGAAATATACTATTTTTGTGATTGACCTCTTTTACTTAACTTTTTAAAAATGAGATTCATGTTGTTATGAGTGTTTCAACTGTACTGTCTGTGCCACCCTTGGTATAGACAATCTTTTACATTTCAGTTATTCTGGTAGGCAGGCAGTGGTGTCTCATTGTAATTTCGATTTGTGTTTTGTAATGATCAATGAGATGAGACAATTTTAACTTGTTTATTGACCCCTCAGATGTTCTCTTTCTCTTTCCTTCCCCCTCGATCCTTCCCTTCCACATTCCTTGGACACACACATACTTCAGGCTCTGTGCTACTGCCCTGCCAGCCTATAATTAGTCTGAACTAGTGCTATTAATAGGATTGAAAAGAACTGATTCAGAGACCATCCAGCACTGGGGAAAGAACTGGCCTGAGAGAGTTGCCATTTCCAGGGTTTGCCTGCCCTCGTGAACTCCGTGGTTGTTGCATGATGTGTGGCACATGTGGTCTGTTTCCTTTTCTTTTTTCTTTTCTTTCTTTTCTTTTCTTTTCTTTTCTTTTCTTTTCTTTTCTTTTCTTTTCTTTTCTTTTCTTTTCTCTTTTCTTTTCTTTCTTTTCTTTTCTTTTCTTTCTTTTCTTTTCTTTTCTTTCTTTTCTTTTCTTTTCTTTCTTTTCTTTTCTTTTTTCTTTTCTTTTCTTTTCTTTCTTTCCTTCCCTTCCCTTCCCTTCCCTTCCCTTCTCTCCCCTCCCCTCCCCTCCTCTCCTCCTCTCTTCTCTTCTCATAAAATAAAGAAATTTTACACAGCTTATAAGGCTACTTTTTGAGATTGTACATATTTTGACAGACTATTCACCATGTCTTTTCTGTCTGTAGAGCTGTCTGCCCCAAGAGATCTGGAATAATGATTGCAAAGAATGGGACCCACAGCTATTTTGGTGTGGGGCTAGTCTGTTTCCTAATCTTACAGACAAATGACACTGGTGGTTCAGAGAGCTGTATGACTATCACGAAAATGAAGAAATCTGAGGTAGACCTAAAGTCTCTTTCTGTCCTGCAGAAGAGCAGTGTCAGAGATGGAAAGGGTCATCAAGGCTTCATAGTCTCTTGCCCCCTTGTTGGACCCCCACTATGCTCCTTCATCATGACATTTGGACTCCATTCTGTCATCATCATACAGGACCAAACTGACTCCACTGAGTTTTCAAAAAAAAGTGTAAGATTTTTTAAAAAATTTATGGGTATTTTGTCTTTATATCAAATTAATACCATAGAAAAATGTTCACACTATCTTTTTTTTATGTGCAACAAATTTAAAGATACACATAGACGTATTGTACAACTTTAGCAACTAATTCAATTAGTTCCCTGTGTGGGATATTGAATTTGTTTAGTTCTCCTCTAGCAAAACCGCTAATATCCTGTTATGAATCTCTGTATCTACAAGTCCAGTTTTAAAAAATTGAAAAAAATCTCATACACAAAAGTAGAAGGAATAGGGTAACAAATTCCCACGAGTCTAAGAATTAATTGCAACATTTGTCAAAACACCACCAGTCTTGTCCCATCTATACTGTTCTATTTTCCTCTTCCAGGTGTTTTGAAGCAAATCCCAGGTATCCAGGCACCTGGGAACCTTAGCTCCTTCAGAGTGCACTTCTGAAAGGTAAGAACTCATTGTAAAAACTGGTAGTTTCTTGTGTTTATTGCTTATGTGAACTGGAGAAAAACTGAGGGAGACTAGGTAACTAAGCTTTCTTGCTGTATGATAAGCTAGTCATGTGTTTCTGAACAATGCTGAGAAATATGCTGAAGTTAGGTGATTTCATTGATGTGAACATCAGGAACTCACACGACTAAGATGGCTAAGACATCACCATCTAGTGTGCTGTCCTGGGACCACCACCATCTGCCTGGCACCCTGATGACCCTAGTGGTGTTCTGTGGTGCATAACTCGACTGTGGGTTAACACAGCACTTGTTTGTTTTCTCACATTTTTCTTGGTCAGGAGTCCAAGATGCTTTAATGGATCTCTGTGAGGTTCTTAGAAGGCTGCAGTTAAGGTGTTCAGTAGGGCCGCAGTCTCATCTGAGTCTTGAGGTCCTTTTTTTCCCGTGGTCCTAGGGACTGAACCCAAGGGTGCTCTATCACTAAGCTATAATCTTTTTAAATTTTTGTTTTTAATTTTGAGGTAGAGTCTTGTAAAGTTGTCTAGGTTGGATTTGAACTTGTGATCCTCCTGTCTCAACTTCCCAAGTAGCTGGGATCACAGATGGTCGCCACCACAACTATCTCCCCTAGTTGTTGGCAAGATTCAGGTCCTGTGGTTGTAGAACTGAGGCCACCCACAGTCCCCTGCCACATACCCATCCTGATAGCCCTCTCACAACCTGTAGTTTGTTTCTTCAAGCCAGTAAGGGAGAGAAAGACGCCTTGATGTCAGGGAGGGCATGGGCTCTTTTAAAGCCGTCACCTGATAAAAAGGGTTGAGGATGTAGTTCAGGGCAAAGGCTCTGGGTTCAATCCCAAATTCCACAAAAAGAAAAACATAAATATCCACAGACAATGCCTCTGATTATGATACTGTTTTATAACCTACTGGGTGATAACCTACATGAAGTCTTATGGGCAATATGTAAAATAATGACCTGAAGATCTATTAATGTATTTCCCATGGAGCTGCTGTCTCTCAGTAATCAGTGACTTAAAGCTCCATGTGAAACATTTTCTTTGGAACTTCGTGCCAACAAAAGCTTTGTTTTCCCTGATGAATAGATATTTTCTTTTTACAAAAGCTATGTAATCTGCCCTGTTTCCTCACATGTTTTGGCTCCTATGAAGCTAAAAATCTAACATGAAACCTAATTTTTATAACTATATTGTGCTTATCTGCCCAGGGGTGACATTGTAGCCTTATTTTAATTCTCTATGTTTCTCTTTTTTACTGTTATTGTATTGTGTCAACCCCTTTGTGCGATGACATTGAATAAAAATATAAATTCTTGTTCAATGAAGTTAAGGGAACCACTGAATTTGTCACGATAGCTTCAAATTAGCAACAGCCCAAATATCCGTGAAGAGTTAATGAACTGTTGTATAATCAGGTAATAAAATTTTACACAGCAACAAAAAGATCAAACCATTGATACATACTACAACATGGAAGAACCTCATCAATATTGTGCTGAGTTGACAAAGCTAGGCACGAAATATTTATGGACTGTGTGATTCCACTTATAACAAGTCCAAGGACAGGTAAAATGAAGGTGAAGGAAGTCAGAAAGTGATGGGTCACTTCCTGGGCAGTTTCAAGAGAAAACCTCCTGGGATTAGGAATCTCCTATATCTCTCAGCGAGCTGTGACTGAGTATCTATGTATCAGTGATCAGAATATATGGTAAATGTTTAAAAAATATGGTAAAAGACATTTTTATTGATTCCTCTCACAATATTCTCCCTCATGTGAAACACTCTTATCCCATCTGTCGTGGATTAATTAATGGTCAATTTGTAACACACAGCAAACCGAATCAGCGTAGTGCTGGGTATGGAAGGCCCACCTGAGGATTGTTACCAACAGCAGAAAAGGAGAACTGGGAGGGAAGATGGTGAGCTGTTGATTCTCCTGGGGATGCTTGTCATGCTGGTTTTCCTGATATGAACTCAGCTGTTCTCATCATAGGAGGAGCTCAGGTCCTCGCTGTCACTGAGGATGGCTGTGGTTCTCTTTGGGGGAGCTCTGGTTTTTACTTTGAGTGTCAATTCCTGGCTCCAGAGCAGATCCCTCAGCCCGCTGGCACAGATCTTTCATCCTGCTGGTGCAGACTTTCTAGCTTCCATCACTGACCTTTGAGCCTTTGTAGAGCAGATCCTTGATACAGGCTTGCGTGAGATATCGCTATAGGCTCTAGGCCTCTAGCTGGACTCGTGCAGGGCATTGCCATGGGCTCTATGCCTTCAGTTGGACTCATACAGAACACTGCTGTGGGATCCAGGCCCTCGGCCTCATTCTTTGGGTCTCTAGTGCATGAACAGATCTCTTGCACTCTTCTGCACTGGACATTTTGGATGAATATTATAAGATAACCCTATAAATTAATGTGTCCTGTATTAACTGTATTCCCTTGCAAACACTGGCTACAGCACCATCCTTCTCGCCCTTTCTAAAGCACTCTGGAAGTTTTCTTCTGTGTCTTCAGTTATGTTGTTGTGGCTGCCTCCATGTCATGAATTAACCTAAAACATTTATCTCTCACGCTCATTTTGATTTTCAGGAAGAGCCAGAAGTTGCACCGTGCTGAATCCTGTGCATAAGGTTGGTGAGGACACCCTGGAATGTGTTTGCAAGCCTGCCTTTCTGTAGGATGGCACTCAGCAGCAGCAGTCACCGTATTTTTTTTAAAAAATAACATCTTGTAAAGACACTCACAAACTCAGAATTGCTTCAGAAAGTGGCAAGAATGATGGGATGAACATGTTCAAAATGAGGAATATTTTGAGAGCGATTAATGGCAACATGTCTTTCCTGTAATAAAGTTTTAAAAATGGAAACATTCACCATACATTATGGTCACCCCTTGTATATGTAAAACATCACTGAAGCACACACTTGGGCTTAGGACACTTCGTGTACTTTACTATAAGTGTGTATTAGTTTTCTTTACTGTAATAAAATGCATGAGATAACCAACTTAGAAAGGGGAAACGTTTATTTTGGATTACAGTGTTGGAGGTTTAAGTCCCTGGACGGTTGGTCCCATTGGTTTGGGCTCATGGTGGCATCATGCATCACAGCAGAGAAAGCAGCTCACTCCGTGCTGGCTGGAAAGTGAGAAGGAGAGAGCAGTGGCAGAGACGGGGTCCACAGCCCCTTTCAGGGCAATGACCCAAGGCTTCCTTGAGGTCCCAGCTCCTTATTTTATGTTTCTGGGAGTTGAATTAAGAGCCTTTGCCCTGAGCCATATTTCCTGCCCTCCCTTTTGCTTTGACACAGGATCTTGCCCTGTCTGGGTTAGGTCCCAACTCTAAAAGCTTCTTCTATACCCCGTTAACACCAGGGACTGAGAACCGAGCTGCTAACACATGGCCCTCAGGGGACACTTACTCAAACCACAGCAACATGTAGATACCCTTCCCCTAAAAAGGAGCACTGCTACAGACAAACTCCTGGCTCATTCTCTTCTTTACATATGACCACCTATCTACCGAAAAAGAACTTTGAAATGGATGATCTCAAAAGTGTGACACTTTTGACATTGTTAGTTTCTAGGTTAGTAGCAATTGTGTACTTTTATTACAACATTTCTCTTCAATGCATAGCTGGACATACATGTAAAGATAGACTCTCAACCATGAAGAAAGAGGCAGTGTCTGTGACCCTAGTATCACTCATTTCATAAAGTGAGTGGGATGTGGAACCCAGCCCTGAGGCCACTTGTCAAGCTCAGCACCTGGCAGCAGAGCCCACCTACAGTGGGACCTTTCCTAATCTGCACAAATAGACCTGTTCTAATTTGCATGGAAAGCCTCAGGTCAGGAGTGGCCTTGCATAAATCTGATACTTATGTTATGATTTAGGGGTGAGAATATATCTGGTGATCATTAGAAAGAGAGCCAGTCTCTGCCTGGATCTTTGCAACCTAAGGAAAGAAAGCTTTATGAAATAGAATGAGAGAATCAATATCAAGTCATCCCTATTTCATGTGTGCCTTGTACTTATGGATGTTAAGAATACAACCTCTAGTTGGCTACTAATGGCTTAATGGGGAAGAGCCATTTGGAGTTTGGGAAAGAATGAGTTCTTGCTGACCTAAGGGACCTGCACTTTTAGCAGGGGCCCTGAAGAAAGATAGAGCTCATCTGACTTTTCAAAAGGTCAAGGAGCCATCACTCAGGACAGCATATGAAAGAAAGGCGGGAGGACATATCTAATGGAATGTATCTTAACACCGACATTCAGGAAAGGGAGCCACAGCAAAACCCAAAAGCGGATTGAAATCTAAAAAGACACTTAGCATTTTTATAGACACACATTTCAAGTTACATTATCAACCAGATAAATAGAGACCATCAAGACTGACCTCTTCTCCATAGCTGTTAAATTAAAGCTAAATTATAATGAAATATTCATACCTGCTGGACTGATGGTCCATTTGCACTGCCCTGTTCTCATTTGATATGCAATACATTGGAATGAGTGTGAAATTCACTCAATCACAGTAAAAGAGTGCATCCAGAAATAATAATGAAAAGATACCCTCCTAAATAGTATGTTTTGTAAATCTAATTAATGATCGCCCTTGGCACTATGACTTTAGGGTAAGAAGAAAGAACCTACTATCTCTTTTGAGTATTTCAGATATATTTGAGTAAACTGTACATCTAAACATACTTTTCTAGAATAGTTTATATTATTCATAAGACTCGTGTGGAGAGAGTTGCTTTGCAGTATTGTTAACTCAGCTCTCTTGGAGTAATGCAGAAATTAGTTTCTTTAAATTCCAGATATTAGACTCACTTTTCTCCAGCAAAGCAATCTGAACACAGTCTTGCTAACTAAGAACCTATTAGACTTTTGTTCCCTAAAATCGCCCTTGGGTTCATTAACTCATTCATAAACTCCTGCTTAGGTCAAGTTTCTTTTGGTTGAGTGTAATAGGGACTCACTTCAAATTGACATAAGCAGAAAAAGTAACTTAGTGGAATGATCTGAGCCATGAGTCTAGTGCGAGGCTTCTGGGAGTGAGACCTGACCAACCACTGCTGGCTAGGTGCCCATCCCTGCCCCATCTATACTAGGATCTTAGTATAGTTACAGGGCTCACTTGTGGGAGGGCTAATTCTCTGTTGAGCAGACACACGAAGTTCAGGGAGGTCAGTTTTCAGAGGGGATCCCTGTGACACTGACAAGTTCCCCTTGCCAGCACTTCAGCCTCCCTGGGAAGGTCACAGCCCATGTGAAGGTGCAGACTATCTCTATTGGCTTATGACTCTCTTGGAAGTGATGTCAGGAGCAGCTCTTGGTGCCAGGTGTCCAGATGATTTCTTTATGTTTTCAGTGCAGCATAGGCTCAGGTTCACACATGGTGGTGTTATTGGGCAGAAGTTATGGTGCTGGAGTAGATGTCCAATCCCAGCTGAAACCCCTTTTGATTTCGGACAGCCTTTGCTTTTCTTTGCCCATATTTCCATCTTTATCAGAAAATAAATTTCTTCCTTAAATTCTAAATCTTATGAGGAAATGGTGTGGTTTTGCATTCGTATCTGAATTTAAGCTTCTTTGTGGGCTTGAGACTTTTAAGATTGTAAATCTTAAGTAGAGTAGGGAGCTAACACGACTCTTGAGAATGAACTACTCGGGTTTGTCGCAGCTGGCTCAATGATCTGAGTGATTCCAAGCACTAAGAAAGCTTGATCCTAACAATGACATTGACAGAGACTTTTAAGGTATTCATAATTTTGGTTTATTTTGTTGATCTGCCAATGCAAGATTGCTCTGGCGCATAGAGGTTAGAGGGCTTCTAAGTCCTTGATTTCTACTTTTAGGTCTTGAGTGGAGCCAAGATGCCCACTTTCACTTGCTTTTATCTGGTTCACATGCTTAAGATTCAGCTGGCCATGGTTGGCCAGGCATTGCTCTGGAAGAACTTGTCTTAACAGATTCCTGTGGGAGTTGAATATGTGTCTTAGTTTGTTTGGGGTGTTGCAATAAAATTACATAAATTGGGTAGTTGGAAATGATGGAAACTTATTTCTTACAGTTCTGGAGTCTGGGAAGTCCAAGATCAAGACACCATCAGATTTGGTGTCTGGTGAGAGTCTGCTTTCTGTCTCATAAAGAGTGTTTTCTTGCTGTATGTTCACTGGTGGGAACAACAATGATCTCTTTCTGGGGCCTCTTTTCTAAAGATACAAATCTCATTCATGATGTCTTTGCTTTCATGACCAATCAGCTCCCAAAGACCTCACCTCCCAACTTCATCACCTTGGAAATTAGGATTTCAACATCTGATTTTTTTTTGGGGGTATATACATTCAGATCACAGCAAAATATGCACAGCTGCCCTATATGATGAGAAGACTGACCTGTGAGAACACTGAGGCTCAGGTACAGTGAGGGAGGGGCATCTGGCAGGGAAGGTCATGAAAGGTGGTCACTGTGTATATGACATCATCTCTTCTCTTTTCCATTTCAATTTATATAATCACTAGCTGTGGTTCCATCTCTCCTGCCTCATCTTCTGGTTGTTTTGGGTTTTAGCCCTTAAAACTGCTCCTGTGGCTTGCTACCAAGAAGCCTTTGGTATCAATGCCCCACAGGCACACGGAGTGGGAAGACTGCTGTCCGTGGTGCTGTCCGGGAAGCCCATGCTTCCCCTGTGTTTCCTCAGCATCCTTGAACTTTCATTCATAGATAGGGTGAGGTGAGTCATTCAGGCTCAGCTCACACGATTTAGCTGGGGGGACAAGTGAAAACAAGGAAGATACACAATGCAACGCAACACAATACCTCCTCTAAACTCAGAACGAATCTGTCAGGAGCTGGTGATGAGTCCTGCTGGACAGTTTTATGTCCAATCCTGGTTTAAAGGTCACAAACCCAAGTGCAGCTGGAATGCCTGAAGCTTGAGGTACCAGGGACACTATTGCACTTCTGGGGCAGAGCTACAGGGTGGATGGGAGCAGAGAGGCCTTCTGAGTTCTGAGCTGATCATATAAGGGATCTGGTGAAATGCCAAGCTTGGCATTTAAGCAGGAACAATGGGAACAGCAAAGATGAGCTAACATAAAGGTGATTTGATGCTATCATCTGGTCATTTGGAGAATTTCTTGGGCATCTCCTAGCCTTATTTTAGCCTTAGAGAGTGGAGAGTACTGTAGGTGCCTGTGTTTACACCTATCTTATCCAATCCCGATGAACAAGACCACCAATATAAGAAAATCCCAACTTGGGGGTTGACATTGAACATGCAGTACAGAGTGAGTTCCTCACCTCATTAGTTTGTATGCCCTTATCTTCAAATGGGGTGAATAACTTCAAAAAATAAAGGTAAGGCATGCAAAATACTGAACACAGAACTTAGAAACACAGTAGATGCACGAACCTGGTAGTGATTATTTTTATGTCATCAAACAAAAGTTGACAGCTATCTAACCGATCACTTCTCTTGGCCTTTTGCCGAGTGGTGAATTGTTTTTTTTGGTTTTTCTCCGGTACCGGGAACCGAACTCACGACCTTGCGCTTGCCGGGCAGGCGCTTTTGCCACTGAGCTAAATCCCCAGCCCCGCCGAGTGGTGAATTGTGACTAGTTCCCAAGTACATAATCCTGAAATGCAGAGAAAATGTTTGAAATTTTGATCATTTGAGAATAATTTTTTGCCTTTTGAATCTAGTGGTAAAATGA